AAAGGCAGTCTCCTGATGGATGCCATCTCGTGATGGACGCCGAGGCCTGTGTGGGCAGCGAGAATCGGAAGCAGTCATGGCCAGACCGTCGCCCAGCGCTGGCCACCACCGTGGGTTTCCAGTGAACGGCAGCTGTCTCCTCCACAGGAAAAGTGGTCATTGAAGAGGAAATGAAGGAGGAGATGAAGGAGGATGTGGACCCCCACAATGGGGCTGATGACGGTAAGTGAGGAATGCCCTTGGAGCATAGCCCCCTATCTCCTCACTCCTGAAACCATCCTCAGGCACAGTGAGATCAGGAAGCCATGGAGTCAGAGGGATAGAGGATATACTTAAAGATGAACTCAGGGCAGATCACCTTAGGCAGGAGGGCCCCTGAAGGCCCACACAAGGGGCCAACATTCAGCTGTGTCTTTGCCTGAGACCAAGGCCAAGCCTGGGAGCATCAAGGTGTGCTCAGACAGAAGACCCCTAGGGAGAGTAGGTTTCTCTTCTAGCCCACCTGTACAGGAGCCCTACTCAGGGGAACATTAGGAAATGGAATGAGTTTCTGTATACTCTGTTTTCAGCCAAATGATTTTGTTTCTCAGTTTTTTCATCTTCAGGGAGCTTGGGGAAAGCATTAGAAAAACCCAGCAAAGACAAAGAGAAGAACTCCTCAGACTCGGGGTGCAAAGAAGGGGCAGACAAGAGGAAGCGCAGCCGGGCCACTGACAAGGTCCTGACTGCCAACAGCAATCCCTCCAGCCCCAGCGCTGCCAAGAGGCGCCGGACATAGACACCTCAGCCCAGGTGGCCACAGGTGCTCCAGTGCTGCAAGCCTCACTGCCTGTCCTCAGGTCCCTGGGTGAATGTGACCACCCATCAGAGATGTAGTGGGGGCTTCTGCTGTGTCGTCAGACCGTCAGAGCACCTGACTGGTCTAGAAGATAGAGCAGCATCCACTCTGCTTGGATGGTGAAGCCTCTGAGCCAGCCTCCTGCTTCTCCTGGTTGGTTCCCTCTATGCCCACAGTGTGTGCAGAGGAGCAGGTGCATGGGACCAGAGGGCCGAGAGTCAGCAAGCAATAAGACGCCACCCTCACTGTCCTCTCCCCTGGATGCCCACTCTTTGCATCTGCTTGTCCTGTGAAGCTCCAGTGTGCACTGGCCTCAGGAAAGGTGTCTTTGGAGTTCACACAGCATAAACTGTGCACAAAAGGCCTCCCCCATCTGGGAAACGGAACTGGATATTTTGCCTCATTCACTTGTACTGTAACTATGTATATAATTTGGTTGGTATTTCGCTATTTAATTTTTAAGAAGCCTATTTTACTAGTGTTTTGTATGAAGAAAAATACTGCAGAAGTTAAACCTGTGATGTGTTTTTTCTGAGATGTTTTGTTTTAAGGTAACTACTGAGATACCTCTGGCTTTGTTTTTATATGCCAGATACAGAGAATTTTTAGCGGTTATTTTTGTAATTTTAATAACTTGGAAGAGACCAAGTAAGGACGTGGAATAAAGGCAGAGCTATCAGGCTGAAGAGCCACTGGCCTGATGGTTGAAGTACACTTTCATTTGCAGAACATTAAAGCATTTAAAAAATCACCTTGGCAGTTGTGTGATTTGCTACTAAAATAGGTGTTTTTAAAAACTTGTTTTTCTACAGAGGAAAGGATCCCCTACCCCAGGATTCATAACTGTAAAGTGCATTTAGACAACTTCCTGGCATCACTGGACACAGTAAGGTGTTGAGCCTTCATCACAGACTAGCAGGACACCCAACCCTATCCCCCAGCCCCTACCACTGCCTGCCCAGCTGCTGTCTGGCATTAGACTGAGGCTGCTGCCTATTGTCTTTCCATACAAGTCCAGCTGTTGGATGGGATGAGCACATTATACTGACAAGATTGTTGCCTGTGACTGAAACCGCCCCTGCCTTCTGCAGGGTCCCAGGCAATGAGAACTGGCCCAGTGTTGGGCTCAGAGCTGTGCGGTGATATTGTGTTCCCTAAAATATTGTGCACCTTAATAAACTTATCTGGGGTCAGAGAACAGACAGCCACTAGATATAGAGGCTGGAAAATGGTGGCACACATGCCTTTAATCCTAGCATTCCAGAGGCAGAGATCCGTCTGGATCTCTGTGAGTTCAAAGCCACACTGGAAACAGTCAGGCATGGCTACATGAGCCTTTAATCCCAGGAAGTGATGGCAGAAAGCAGAAAGGTATATAAGGCGTGAAGACCAGAAACTAGAAGCTTTTGGTCTGGTTAAGCTTTTAGGCTTTTAGCAGCAGTTCAGCTGAGATCCATTCGGATGAGGGCACAGAGGCTTCCAGTCTGAGGAAACAGGATCAGCTGAAGAACTGGCGAGGGGAGGTGGCTGTGGCTTGTTCTATTTCTCTGGTCATTCAGCATGCACCCCAATACCTGGCTCCAGGTTTGTTTTTATTAATAAGACCATCTTAAGATTTGTGCTACAGAGCTGGCCTGTACTAGCCCACTGCCATTTCTAGTCAGGACAGTTTAGTCACCATGAACATACCACTAGACCCTCCCTGCCACAGAAAGCATCTTAAGTAGACACAGATGAGCTCATCTAGTCTCCTGGCCTGTCCTCTCTTGGGAAAAACCAGCTGTGGGAAGTCTCTGGGTCCCTTTCTGTAGGGCCTTGACAAGGTCCTGGAATGGGGCGGAAGATAGAGGCCTACAATGACTGAGATGAAGACTGTGTGCTCAGACCTGGAGTAATGCCATGTGTCCCAGTGTAAGAGCCAGGGAAAGCAGTGTTACAGCATGTTTTGGGAACTGGCTTGGGGTCACTAGTAGAGGCTTATTTGGTGGGAGAAGGCTAGCTATTGAATCTACCACCAACAGTAGAAATTGGGGAGTAGACAGTGCCCCTGAGAAGGCAGTCCTCTCTCCAACCAGGTTCACTCTTCTAAACCCATCTGAAAGAACAATCTAGGGGCATGAGAGCATGCAGGAGGGCCTGGTCAAGACATCTGTCTTGAGTCCATTATTGTTAGTTTGTTCTAGAAGCAGGCTTCACCCAATAGCCCAATGTCCCATTCTGGCCACATTGCTTCATGAGTCTCATGTGGATGAACTCAAACCTGCTGTTCTCCTGAGTTCTTCAGACCTTATGACTCACAGGACTGTCCCTATGTCCCTTAGATATTTAGGTAGCTGGGTGGTGGCAGTGCATGTCTTTAATCCCAGCACTCAGGAGGCAGAGGCAGGCAGATCTCTGAGTTCAAGGCCAGCCTGGTCTACAAAGTGAGTTCCAGGATAGCTAAAGCTGTTACACAGAGAAAACTTGTCTCAAAAAACCAGAGGGGGGCGGGGTGTCTAGGCCATGCTGCTGGCATGAAAGTATGTCACAGCCTGGCAGTATGACCTCGAGTTCTGCTAGGACACATGCTTACCCTCTCCCAGCCTAGGGTGAGATCTGTGCACCACGGACCACAAGGACATCTATTCTGTAAAGCATAGGCATTTCTTTCTTGTAGGCTCTGGATCGTTCAGTAGGTGTGGTCTTCCAATCTGTTTCAAGGGAACTGGGAGTGGATTCTGCCCAGAAAACAATAGAGAATACTGAGTAGCAGCAGCAAGCTACAAAGTATATTTGTGGTGGGGGTGGGGAATCAGACAGGGCAAACTTGGGCCAGACAACAGGGCTGTAACTTATTATCCCTGAAGGAAGTGTTAACACTTGTAACCTGAGCTGGCCCCAGCCAGACACCTGCAAAGCTCAACCATAAGCAGTACTACCTCCTATGCGGACAGAAGACTCCTTTTCTGCATGACTTGGAAATATTTTGACCTTCCTTCTAGAGGAGGCAGCACTGAGCCATACTGGGCATCATCAGACCAAAGACACTCAAGGAAGGAGCAGCATGTGGCAAACTCTTGAAAGCAGCTAACAGGCAACTCAATGTGGCTGTAACTGAAACACAAGTGTCAGTATCTTTAACACTGACGGCATGGGTCTGTAGCTGCTGCACTAGCACCCGGCACATGGCACACTACCTCGCCTCTTGCAGATATTATCAGCCCATGGCATGTCCATCTTTTCAACTTTTTGGGGTAGTTAGGGGTGATGGTTGTCCATCCAAGGGATGGCCAAACCTTGAGATATCCCCAGCACCCACTAACACCCCACCTATGGCTTCCCTATCTAATGGCACGTTTAGCCAGGTCCCAGCCTGAGCATGGTTGGTGTCAGAAGCAGTGGAGCAGAGATCAGAAACAGAGCTCCACACCTACGGCACCTGAGCTGTGGTTTTTGTTTTATGACATTTTTGTTTATTTAATGTGCATATGTATCAGTGTGGATACACATGTGGAGATCAGAGACAACTTTCAGAAGTCAGTTCTTGTCTTCTACCATGTGGGTCCCTGGGACTGAGTTCCAGTTGCCAGGTCTGATGGCAAGTGCCTTTACCCACTGAGCCGTTCTGCTGCCCGAGTTCTTTCAGAGATCGCTCAGGGAAAACCAGGATTCTTGACTTCACGGGGTGGGTCAGTGTGAGGCACAGATGGAGTTTGGAAAGATATTCTAGGCATGGATTTAAACACGTGTGTTGATAGAGGTGTTTGGGGAAAGCAGAGCACACCCAAGTGTGACTGCTGCTTCTCAAGGGAAAATGGCATATGAGTCTCTACAGAAGCCCATCAGTCTGACTTGGGTGGTTTCTAAAGTTTCAACTCAAGGAGCTGCTAGGGAACTTCAACAGGTCATACCACAGTCTCTGTTGTGTGCTGGACAGTTGCTAGAGACAATGTATTTTTACTGTGAGATTCCCAGATAATTACAGGTTCACATCTGGTCAAGGAGTAAGGCCACACTCAAAGGTCATATACACATAAGCCTGAAGTACAATCATTACTATTTTAATATTATTTGGGACATGGTTATATAAAAGAAATATTTTCTTTATATAGGCAGTCTTCAAGCAAATTTTGTCAACTGTCCTAGAATCCATAACTCTCAACTCGTGAGAAGCTTCAACCCATACTGGAACAAGGGTCCTTTCCCCTACTACCCACCCATGTCCCCTTAACTTTCCCTTCCTATCTTGCCTCAAACTGTGTGTCACATAACAAGGAAAGGCTCGTGGCCACAGTCCGCAGTGGAATATTCCAGCTAACACCTAAGGGTTACCTATCCATATGATCCCAGGAAATTGTCAGTGGATAGAAGTGGATGTCCAGAACTCCCATGGCTTCAGGAATTCACTATTGTTCTTTCAGAAAGCAGGGGGGAGTACAGAGATGGCTTAACTGTTAGAAAAAAAAAAAAACTGCCTTGTCTTACAAACCTAAGAACCTGAGTTTGAGACAGGCAGTGGTGGTGGTGCACGCCTTTAATCCCAGCACTCGGGAGGCAGAGGCAGGCAGATCTCTGAGTTCCAGGACAGGCTCCAAAGCTAAACCCTGTCTCGAGAAACAAAACAACAACAACAAAAACCTGAGTTTGATCACAACCTAGAAGTTGAGGTTGGTGTGTGTACCTGTATTTCCAGTGCTGAGAGGCAGACAGTAGGGTCCCTGGGATTTGCTGGATAGTCAGCCTCACGGAATCTGTGACCTCCAGGTGAAAAAGAGCCCCTGTCTCAAAATAATAGGGTGGACAACGCTACTGAGGAACTACACTCAACATCGACCTCTGGTGTCCATGGGCATCCAAACACCTACACACAGGTACGTACAAAGTGAGCTAGTATGGTCACAGAAGTCAGGCAGGAGAGTTAGACAGGTCAACCAAGATTAGAGACCAGCACCCAGCAGCCCTCAGAGCTGGCAGGAAGAGGCACTTCCCGTAGGGCTGGGGAGAAGCCTCCCTACCCTCCCTGGAGGGAAGGGAGTCTCCAAGGAAGTGAAATCTCTAGGAGGAGGCCCTGAGTCTGTGGAGGTGCGTCTTCCGGGAGAGGATGGGGGGCAGGAATCCCTGGTGCACAGCCTCCAGGGGCTGTCCTTCACCGGGATCGCCTTCTCCTGGGCACCGCTTCGCGCCTGGCTCCAAGGAGAGCTGCTCTGCGGGGTACCCCGCGTAACGGCGGAAACTGAGCGGTGGGCGGGACCTGGCGCCGCCCCGCCCCCGCGCTTCCTCCTCTTTCACTTTCCTTTCCGCGGAAAGCGGGTCGGGTCCTGCCTCTCGAGTATGGACGACCTGGACTGCGATTCCACCTGGGAGGACGAGAGCGAGGAGGACGGCGAGGACGGCCAGGCGGATGATACGGGCGATGAGGACACGGGCGACGAGGACGGCGACGCGGAGGAGGCACGGCCAGGCGTGTTCCAGGTGCAAGACGGCGGGAGGGCGACAGAGCGACACCAGGCCGTGAGCGCCTGGCCCAGGCCGCTGTCCCGTGGGGGCGCCGGGCCCAGGCCGTGTCGGACCGAGCGCCGGTGACGTCAGGGCAGCGACTGATGGGGGGGTTCGTGCGTGGGTGACGTCAGAGCGCGCCCCAGATCCTCGTCCTGCGTGGGTGGCCTTCCCTCGGGTTGCCCTTCCTCCGTCCCACATTCGGCCCCCAACTGCAGACGGCCTCCACCGGCTCGGAAGCGACCCCAGCCTAGGAGACCTGGGGCAGGGGGCTGGCTGGCTGCCACTAGCTCTGGTAACTTTTGTTGCCATCAAGAGCCTGTCTCCGGGTATACTTTTGTAGCAAGCAGCATATAAGTCGCAGTGCCATTCTGTAAGACTCACTGTCCTGGTTATAGCTGTAGTTTCAGGCTTGATGGAAAGCCTGGAAATGAGAGTGATGACTACGACCATTCTTCCCATTCTCTCCATACGGTCTCTGCTTGTCTGCTATTTTTGGGAAAGTGGCTCAGAATCTGGAGAGGCTCTCAGGCTGGCCTTCCAGGCAGGCCAGTGCCGACCTATGCCTGACCACATTGGAACGAAGCTGAGGCTGGGTAGAGTCCAAAAGCTCTGATGAGAATTGTTTCCCCAGAAGAGCTTTTGGATCATGCCTGAAGTAGTAGCCCCGTAAAAGCCAGCCCCAGACCTGGAGGCACAGTGACTTCCATCACGTTAGGCCAGGGAGGAGCAGGGGTTTGCAGAGAAGGAGCCTCATTCATCCCATGCATCAGACCCATCCAGAGACATTTAGGTTTTCTCTTGAGACAGCGGCTGGCAAAGTATCTGCCCTTGGGGATACAGCCTAGTGACCATTCAGAGCATAATGTGGGGGGAAATACTATAGTACTCAGGGAAGGGGGGACACATAAAGGGCTTGGACCAAAATGAGGTTGATCAGCAGACCAGAGCGGAGATGAAGCTGGGGCTTGGGTACAGAAGAGCACCAGCCATACACACCTTGGTAGTATGCAGGCTAGGCTGGGCCAAGGTACCCTAAAAAGAAAAAGGGAGTACTAAGAGAGGCAGGACTGGTAGCTGAGGCCACTCCAGTCCCTCTGTCTGTGTTCACATGGAGATGTGTTTCTCTGGTGTCTAGAACGGCCTTTTCAGAACCCCTGACACAAGATGTGTGGAGACCAGAAGAAACAGAAATACCCATTCCTCTTGCATAGAGCTCAAAGGTGGCTGGCCAAGCCATACTGCCTTTGGTCTGCACACTTTCCAGGTACCTTATTCCCTTTATTCTCTCTCCAGTCTAGGATGACAGGGTACCGAAACTGGCGAGCTATGCAGGACATGCGAAGGTACCGACACCACTACCCGGTAGGTACACATGGCCCCTACCTTGAGACACAGTCCTCTTCCCAAATAACGTATCCCCTGGCCTGCCTGAAAATCCAGTTTTGGGTTCTGGGGTGTGTTCTTCATTGTCGGTTCAGATCCATGACCTTCCCCTAGTCATGGGGTGATAGAACATGTTGTCCTACCTGAACCTCAGAGCATAGCTTTAAAATGAGGGGCCAGCTTTCTGGTAGAACATGTGACTCAGGACTTCACACAGGGCTGGCTCCCTGGATGGTACATGGGATCGCCTTCAGTCTCTCTCCTCTGTACCCGTGAGTTACTGGCAACCTCTGTAGTACTTTTGAGGTACAGAGGGGAGTAACCATCGATGGCCCCTGTTGGTAGGGAGATGGGGGTGGTACTGCCCTCCAGACCTACCCTTGTTCACAGAGAGGATTCCAAACTGACTTTTGGGGTCTTGAACAGCTGTCCCTACCCCTGACTGCGTGAGTCTGAAGGGCCCTCAAAGATAGCTTGTTTCTCATGAGTCCTCAGCTGTCCTTTCTCTGGCTCTTCAGGATTTGGCAGATCAAGACTGCAATGGCGACATGTCCAACCTGAGTTTCTACAAAAATGAGATCTGCTTCCAGCCAAACGGTACCGCCCACTCAGCCCCAGTACTTCTGCCCTTGGCTGGTTGTCCATTCTGTTAGGCTGCCTGTTGTCCTTAGTCCAGTTATGGCTTTCAGATGACCCTGCACTACCCCCTTGAGGCTGCCAAGGGGATTGGAGCTTAGGTTGAAGGGCCAGAGAGAAGCTTTTGGGGTTTTAAAATGGTCTTTCTCTGTATTCCAGACTGGCCTCAAACTCAAGCTCTTCCCGTAAGCCTCCCAAGTGCTGAAATTATAGGCCTGAGGCACCATATCCGTTCTGTGACGTAAACATTATTTGAAACTAAACAGTATAAAGTTTGGTTGGTGCCTGCTTACAACCATCTATTTATGCAGTTACTTTGCTGCTGTCGCATGGGAAAGGCTGTGCAGCTACACAGCTAAGGTATTTGCTGTTTGGCCCTTCAAAGGCGCCTTCCCTGGACCATGTTCCAGGCTTGGTTTCTATAGGGATTTCTTTTGGGTACAGAGCTTCCTGGCTGACAAGGTATATATATATATATATATATATATATATATATATATATATATATATATATGACCCAGAGAGGAAGTAGTGTACCCCTCACATAGAGAAGTAGGCCTAGTTACCTAAAACTAATACATTTTATATTTGATGAGCTATGGATAACTCTTCTGAGTCCTGAGAACCCTAAAGAAATTGAGGCTAAGCAGTGATTCTGGCAAAGCTCTGTACCCTGAGCTATGTCAAGGAAGCCTCCTGTAACTGACTTTTCCCCATGGAATTTCCAGGTTTTCTCATTGAGGACATTCTTCAGAATTGGAAAGACAACTATGACCTCCTTGAAGAGAATCACTCCTACATCCAGTGGTGAGTGGAACTGAATAGGCAGGTCTTAGGTAAAGGGAGGGCCTGGTCATCTAGGTGGGTGCTGTCATGCTATGTCTATGTTTAGGTCTTTGAAGCACTCCTTTCTTTCCATAAGCCTATATGTACATGACAGGTATTGGCTGCATATCTCTAGTTAGTGTCCCCGTTGTTGGGCTCTGTGGGGGTGTTGTATACAGGTCCATGGACAGGCCTATCTGTCTAGAGGGGCGGCTGGAGCTGGACTACCTCTGACTTGGTTTTAGCAGGGCTTGAGTGAGGTGTCACACAGCAGCCTCAGAAGCTATGCCATTTCCTGGCAAGTACAGCATCCCTTGCTTGAGGACAGCCCTCTGGGCTGCTCCCAGTGTCCTCTTGGCATGGCGTACATTGTGGCTGTAATTCTGCAGGATTGATGACAAGAAAGAACAAAATATGAAAGCATAGGAAAGAAAACTCTGCCTCCCAAAGGTGACAGACATGCTGGTCTTGCCCATTTTGACGTTACACCACACAGCCCACTGAGCACATAGGCTGGGGCTCCAAGCAGCCATCTTACCTGCTCTCAGCTGACTGCCATCCTTACCTAGGTCCTTGGGTAAGAGAGAGGCCAGCCAGTCCCTCTGGGATGAGAGGGAGGCAGTGAATTAAAGATGCGTGAGTTGCTGCCCGATGCTAAAGTGCCTATACCTCACCGTCTTTGCAGGCTGTTTCCTCTGAGGGAACCAGGAGTCAACTGGCATGCCAAGCCCCTCACACTCAAAGAGGTCGAGGTAAGCTGCCTTCCTGGGCCAGACTGGGGAAGTTAGGAGAGCTACCCCTGTCTGCAGAGAGGTCACTCTGACACAATGCCTGTGCTGCCTCAGGGGCCAAAAGAGTCCCATGGTGCCACTGTGGCTTCTAGAAGTCTGCCTGATGGGAATAATGCCACCTGTTGGGGACATCAGAGAAAGGGGTCCAGCCCTTAGAGACTGAGTAGTAGAGATAAGGGATAAGAGGGCCCTGGACAAGGACAGCAAGGAATGCCTTGTGGCAGTGGATTCAGATTAATAGAGGTAACAGCTTTCCTAGGCCTCACAGAGAAGAAAGCTGGAGATGTGTTGATGTCATCTCATCCTCAGAGGCTGAGTCAGGGTCTAAGGGAAGGCATTGGCCTACCTGGTATCCAGTGGCCCCACCCAATGTTCCTTGGGAGCAGTGATCAGTGAGGGCCACCTGAGCCCCCAGGGAATTGTTTTCTAGGCATTTAAAAGCTCCAAGGAGGTCAGAGAGCGTCTTATCCGGGCCTATGAGCTCATGCTGGGCTTTTATGGAATCCAACTTGAAGACCGGGATACAGGTGCTGTCTGCCGTGCACAGAACTACCAGCTGCGCTTCCACAACCTGAACAGGTGAGGACAGGGCCCTGCTGGCATCCTCCCATCTCTGATGCTCCCCTTTAGGATCTGGAGCTGGGTTTCCAGCAGAGAAGTCTAATACAGGCCACAGGGTGTAGGTGCTGCCATGTGGCAGGGGTTGTGAGGTTATAAAGGAGGCAGTCCCTTGGCTGGAGAATTTCCATCCCCTCCACCCACCCAGGAAGCAGAGGCAAGGGAGGACCACAGACATCTCAGTCACTCTGGATCTCAGTGTTCCCAGACAGGAGTCCGTGGACTGGGACTTGCAGATCCTGTCCACAGGTCCAGGGTACACAGGCCATTTCCCAGGAGGGAACCTGAGAAGACCTTGGGAATTTGAGGTGGAGCCAGCTGGGGCTGCTTTGGCCAGATGCGCATCCCCAGGGCCAGGTCCATCCAACCTCCTGTCACCTACCTTCACAGTCACAGCCACAACAACCTGCGCATCACACGTATCCTCAAGTCGCTGGGCGAGCTGGGCTTAGAGCACTACCAGGCGCCGCTGGTCCGCTTCTTCCTGGAGGAGACACTAGTGCAGCACACATTGCCCAGCGTGCGCCAGAGTGCCCTGGACTACTTCCTCTTTGCTGTGCGCTGCCGGCACCAGCGCCGGCAGCTCGTGCACTTTGCATGGGAGCACTTCAAGCCTCGCTGCCAGTTTGTCTGGGGGCCCCGTGACAAGCTTCGGAAATTCAGGCCCCAGGCTACACCCCAGCCCCTGATGGTACTAGAGCAGGCAGATAAGGACGAGGGCTCCAGGAACCCCTTCCAAGAGGCTGGCACCCAGGGTCGGACCTATGGATCTGGAAGGGACCTGAGTGGGGACACTGGAACTGAGGATCCCTCACTGCTGAGCACACAGCCCCAGGATGTGGGAACCTTGGATGGGGACAAGAGGGATGAGGCTGAGTCACTGAGCCCCAAAGAGAGCAAGAAGAGGAAGTTGGAGGGGAACAGGCAGGAGCAGACCCCAGGGGAGTCAGATCCCCAGGGTGTCTCTGAGGTAGAGAAAATTGCCCTCAACCTTGAGGGGTGTGCCCTCAGCCCTGTCAGCCAGGAACCCAGGGAGGCTGAACAGCCCTGTCCTGTTACCCATGAGGCCAGGATGGCTGATGAGGTAAGAAAACGGAGGAAGGTGGAGGAGGGGGCTGAGGGTGATGGACCTGCCAGTAACCATAACACTGAAATGCAGGCCCATGCCCCGCCTCCTACACCTTCAGAGTGTCCTGAGGCCCAAAAGGATGGGAACAGGCCAGAGGACCCAGAAAGCCAGGTGGGGCCAGAGCAAGGTGCCTCTGTGAATTTGGTGGAGGATCCTGGGAGCCTGGTGGAGGACCCTGGCCCTGACACCACAGGAATCTCAGTGGATGAGTCAGAGGAGTTGGCAAGGGTAGGGGCCTCTGCTGAACCCCTGAAGCCTTAGAGGTGCATCTCAGTCCCACTAGCCCACTGCAGGGGTTCTCGTGAGTCCCAGAGCCCTGCTCTTGGCTCTTCTCAGTGCCCCACAGTGCTGGCCTCTCCCTGGTGGTCACTGAAACGTCCACCAGAGGGACTGAGGCCCTGCCCTCAGGGAAGGCCACTGCCTTCAGAACCCTCCTTACCTCACTGTGTCCTCCCCCACTGCCCTCTGAGCCCCATGTTTGTGAACAGACCCCACGGGTCGGGGAGGGGGGAGGGGCCTCTTTTCTTAGTCTGGTGCCAAGTGAGGCCTTTTCTGAATAAACTCTTCAGACTTTGTTTTTTGGTGTGGACCAAGGTCCTGTTTGGTTGCCTGTGGATTCTGTGGGTTGGTTCCTATAGACTTCCCTCTTGCCCCCAGTTGAGAATAGCCTGGCCTGGGCCACACCATGGTGCTTTGCCCATACAGAGCCTGGCAGACACTGGTTGCACAGCTCTTTCTGGGCACTGGCACCCTATGCAGACCTATTGTAATATATACGCCTTCCTGAATACAAGGATCATCACCTCCTTAGCTGCTACCTGTCACCTGTTTAAGAACTTAGAAACTGGTTCACGGGCCCTTTGGATGGGCTGGGGACAGTTCTGGATTTACGTGTCTAGACCAATCCTGTCTTGCCCCTCTCTACTGATAGGCCCCCCCAGGTGCTATCTTCCAATGCCCTATGTGGCCTGTCAGACTGGCATCTCACTGTAGCTTCCCTCTGCCGAGACTTTTCCCTCTTCTAATTCCCCAGTGCCTATCTGTCAGGTAAGGAGTTTTATGGACCGTGGAGAGGAGGGAGCCACACACATCTTGGTGCAGACGAGGTGGCAATTAAGCACCGTCCTGGGTGTTATGAGGGAGAGAATCACAGTTCTCCCTGAGTTGAACCTAGGGGTCAGTGCCATCTCTTGACAAGGTCATAGTACTATGCTGTGGACAGCGCCCTCCCAAGGTTTATCTTGAGGCTGTGGACCCTGGGAACCTTAGCTGTGGTTTGGCTTATTGGTAAGGCTTTGAAATGAACATGGATGCTCGGAGGTGGATAGAAGGCATCTAGTAGTTACTTCAGTTGGGGTCCTCTTGGAGTGTGCAGGCATCTTCAACTAGATGGCTGGGACTCAGGTTGGATGGGGAAGATTGACTCTTGAAAGTGAGGAGGGCGGGCTGGAGAGGTGGCTCAGTGGTTAAGAGCATGGCTGCTCTTCCAGAGGTCCTGAGTTCAATTCCCAGCAACCACATGGCAGCTGTCTGTAACTACAGTTCCAGAGGATCCAATACCCTCACACAAACGTACATGAAGGCAAAACACCAATGCACATTAAAAAAAAATTGCTTTAAAAAAAAAAGAAAGTGAGGCGGGGCTGTAGGGACGGCTGGCCACTCGGACTCACTTGACCCCTGCCAGACTTTCAAGAATGGCGTACCAAAACAGTTCTGCACAGCTCAAAGGCGAGTTCTGGGAGGCCTGGACCTAACAGGCCTAGGATGTGAGGCTGGCCTCACCTCAGAGGTCTACAGATACTGGGGATGTGAGGGAGTTGAAGACAAAGTCTGCTTCAGGTGCCAAAAATGTTCCCCAGACCCAAGCTAAAGGCCAGCTGTGCCTCCTCTGAGTGGCATCCAGTCGCTGCTTTATATGCCGCATGTTAGGTGCTGAGGTGGCAGAAAGGGCTGGAACCTGGTCAGGTGGGAGGCACTTCACAGTTCCGTGTGGTATGGACTGTTCAGAGCCCCCCAACTGCAGCTACTGCTGCCACAATACCTTTTCCTGAAGAGGTGCTTTGGTACGTCTCAGGCTGCTTGAGGGCAAGGCTTCCTGAGCTCCCCCTTGCTTCACTCCCATGGACATTCACAAGCACCTGCTGCAGAGCTGAGCAGGCAGTGGGGTGCTTGGTAGTGGAACGGGAATCTCCTGTTACCTCACTTGGCAGGTAAAAGCCACAGCTTCACATTGGGGCCATTTTGTGTGCTTGTTCTCTCTCTCTCTCTCTCTCTCTCTCTCTCTCTCTCTCTCTCTCTCTCTCTCTCTCTCACACACACACACACACACACACACACACACACACACACACCCCCTTACTCTATTCTTGCTAATTGCTGTCACATGATCCCTGCCTGCAGATGGAGCTGCTGCCATGTCCTGTAAACCAGGACAGTGTTACTCGGGAAATTCAGATTCCCAGAAAGGACAGGTAGACTGGGATTCTGCAGTTTTGGCAAGCCCCATAGGCGATTTAGATGTCTGTAAGATTAAGGGGAGGGGTTGGAGAGTTAGCTCAGCAGTTAAGAGCACTTGTTGCTTTTGTAGAGGACCCAGGTTTCATTCCCAGCATCCACATGGAGGCTTAACAACCATCTTGACATCAGGCATGCACATACATTCAGGCAAAACACTCACATACATAATTTAGTAAAAAATAATCTGAAGAAAGAGGGTTAAAGGAGAAACTACTACTGTGGAGACCTGCTTCCAGGTATGTCCTAACACTGGGTCCTTCTCTCCAGCAGCCTTGACCTTCAGGCTGCTGCTTTTCTCTCCCAATTTACCATCTTGCTCCCTCCTGGGGAACAGGGTGCAGTATAATAACGAGGCTTTCCAGTGGTGACTGAAATGACCCTGTCCACCCCTACCCCCACTAGAGCCTGGCTCCAAGCTTAAAAGAGGGCTGGGATGGCTAGCCAGAAATGCTGGGCTGTCACTATACAGGATCCTTGCCATGGTAGGTATGCTAGAGGGAGATTTACCGTGATCCTCTCGGTATTTGGGCATCTTGGGTGTGTCCTTCGCAGCTTTTAAAAGATGCCCTTTACTGCAGGGGTTCTTCCTGACCACGATCTGGCAGAGGAGTGGGAGAGAAAAGAGTCTTTCTTGTGCGCTGAAAGGTGCGTGTGTGTAACGCGCTCTCCCTGGGATAATTTTAACTCGGAGTAGGGCCGGAAAATGCTGCTGGGTTTTTCTTTCCAGCCCACGCGGCGCCCTGCCGGCCCAGGTGGGCCCGTCTGAATGGGGGGCTTGTGCGCGGGCGGGGCGGGGCAGGGCGGGGCACCCGGCCTTGCACCGCCCCCAGCCCCTCTCCCCACCCTGCTGCCTGGCGCCAGTCGCTCAGAGAGCCAGCCAGCCAGCCATGACCGGAGCTCCTGTCCTAGCCCTGCTGCTGCTGGGGCAGCTTCTGACGGCCACCTCCGCACAGGTGAGCACAAGTCTGCGGGTGCCAACCGGGTCGGGGATAGGGCCGGACGTCGAACCTCACAGCCTGGTACAACTCGATTCTCCTGGGCCAAACCCTGAGTTCCACCTCCGTGGACCTTTGAGGACGTCTATGGTAGCCTCCTCGCCGCCTTCCTCCGGCGGGCAAGTTCTAGTGATGCAGCTGAACCCCATGGACACCAGGACAAGTCGACCATGATCCTGGGCTCCCACTTGTCTTCGCCCAACCGGGTCAGGCTGCTGCCGGCTCTGCCACCACGCTCAGAGCACACAATGTTGCCTTTGTTCCTGGAGACTCCCTGCGGGGCCGCGGCACAGCCACTCCTGGTGCAAGCAGGGATAAACCGTGTCTCCACGCCAGGCTCTAGCACAGGAGACTTTGGGGTTTTCTAGCGGGCAGGAAGAGGGGTCATGGGCCACTATCACAGGCCCCAGAATTACTTGGGCTGGGGAAGATGGAACAGGGGTGCTGACATGTTGGAAAGGAGGGCTACCTAATAACTTATCTTTTTGGTTTTTCGAGACAGGGTTTCTCTGTGTAGCTTTGGAGCCTGTCCTGGATCTCGCTCTGTAGACCAGGCTGGCCTCGAACTCACAGAGATCTGCTGGCCCTGCCTCCTGAGTGCTGGGATCAAAGGCGTGCGCCACCACCGCCCAGACTAATAACTTATCTTAATTTCAGAAAGTGGGACCACGGGGCCCCCCTGGTCCCCAAGGACCTCCTGGGAAGCCCGGCAAGGATGGCATCGATGTGAGTTGGGAGAGGAATGGGGAAGATGCCCTGAGACTCCTGGCCTTGTAACCACAAATGCAAGCCCCTCCTCTGAGAGCTAGGGTGAAACAGGGTATTCCCCAGTGGAGCTGAAAAGACCTTGTTCCTTTTTGGGGTAGATCTTGGGATACAGATAACAGGGTGGTTCTTGGCTAGAAATGTGGGCCTGGAGGTGTGTGTGCTCCTGTATTCTAGCGGTTACTCTGGGGACCTGGGGGTCTTGTTAGGGCTGAGAATAGAGCCAGTCTTGGATGGGGCTGGGGGACAGTTTAGCCTCAGAGATGGTGTCTTATCATCCAGTTATAGCCCAAACAATTTGGGGAGACAACTGAAATCTTGCAGCTCCCCCTCACCCCCTCCCATCATCTGAAGTGGAAACCTTCTCATAGGGTCTTCTCCAGAAAAGACAGCCTCCAGTTACTCATGTTATGCCCCTTGGGATGCCATAGAGGACTATAGGAAGCTTCACCAAGAGTGTCCTGAGTTCTTCTCAGTATCCCCAAGAGTTGTACCCAGTACCTAGTTCAGCCATAATGGTCTCAGATTCCCTTACTTCCTTCCTGATCCATCATGTTGGACCTAGGTTGCCCAGGCCCTTACCCTCTGAACCCCCACTGCTGTAGCTGAGCATCCAGGCTTTAAGGCTCCTACTTAAAATATCTTAAAGTCTCAGTTGAAAGATTCAGCCACCCTAGTAGGTATCTATGGAGGATATAGCTGCTGGGACACCTTTCTGGAAAATAGGGGAGGAACTGCCATCTCCCAAACAGATGGAGTCAAGATGCTCAGCTAGCCACAGCCACTTTCTATAAAGTTCTTGGGTCAGTGCAGAGGAGCTATATGGAGTATTTCCTGGAGGCTGTTGTGTCCCTGTGTTCCCAAGTGATCCCCAAATGCTGTGTGGCTGAGCCTACAGCTCACCCTATCCCTGCAGAGGAGAAGCCCCAGATATAGATGAGAGGGTCTGGAGACCCCCATAATGTCTCCATGGGCTAAGCTTCCAGGACTGAATTGGAGAATGGCCCAGCTCTAGGGTGGGTTTCCCATTTTCAGGGGTTACAGGTGGTCATTTTTGTTTTTGCAGGGAGAAGCTGGCCCTCCAGGTCTGCCTGGCCCTCCAGTAAGTGTCCCTGGTTGGAAAAGGGAGGCTTTTCCAGTTTGCAAGGGAGAGATGGACACAGAAAACACAAGGTCATTGATGCCCTGTCCTCACCGCTGTGGGTCTGTGTTGCCCCAGGAGAGGCCTGATGGCAGAGGCTGGATGTGGGTGGGAGGAGCGCATTTGGGACTCTGTGCTGGGTCTGGCTGGAAGC